TCCATTAGTAAGACCACGATCAAGTCTTTCCAAAATATGAGTAGCCAAACCTTGTCTATTTGACCAAGTAAAAGGGGAACCCTTAAAACCCAAGTCTCCAAGCCTTGTTAAGTCAAGAAAAGAGTGGAACTATTCCATTGCAGCAAAGGACGGCATCCTGCCTCCCAGTTTCTCGGAGGCGAAAAGCATTCAGTTAAAGTCTCCTATAACTACGATGGGAGACACAAACGACAAAACCAAAGACACAATTTCATTAAACTTATCAACACGAAGCTGAGCATCATAATGGAGGTGCACAAAGATAAAAGCAATGGTCCCCCATGCTACATGCTGGCATTCGACATACAAGTAATAAGAAGACTCCCCTAAAAATGAAAAGAGACATTGGCAGAGCAAGCTACTGCTAATCCACCAGACCGACCTACACGAGAAAAACAATGCACAAAAGAAAAACCTTGACGCACTAGTTTCTTATTTACAAAGTCATCATCCCTCTTAGTTTCATTAAGGAAGACAATCGAAGGTGAAAACTGTTGAATGGCTCCAAGCAGTGAGGGAAATGTAAGGGCGGAGCCCAAACCCCTACAATTCCACACTAAGATGCTCATTTGGCTGATTGGGCCCAGTTCTAGCTAGTAGCCACCACCATTGCTTCAAGAATTGTGTATGTTTCGCCCTCCAATCCATCCCGCCGAGGGCGCTTAGGCTCAGGAGAATCCTGGAGGGAGTCTTGCATCTGGTCCCTAGCTTGCAGCCTATGTGCAGAAGGCCCCTTAAGCTCCAGCAGGGGGGTTTGTGTCGAGGCAAGTGAGGAGCCTTCCTCTTGTCGAACCCAAGTGAACATCTTCTTGTGCAGCAGGGTCTTCTCATTGACTTTCGGTCCCTTGATTTGAACCAGAATGTGATGACCATAGACAGGATCTGCGCCAGCGAGCTCCTTCCGGCGGGGGCACTTCTGGCCAATGTGACCTATGATACCACAAAGAAAGCAGAACTGCGGAAGCCTTTCATATCGGACCGCATCGTCAAAATCCCAAACCCCACCCTTTTCATGAGAAGCAGGCATCGAAAGAGGCAAAGGGAGGCGGCCATCAATTCCCACTTGAGCACGCAGGTACACCTCTCCTGTCGAGGGGATGTGATGAACAGCAAGGAGTTGGGATACCCCAGAAGTGGATCCCCAGCAGGACACGCCACAATTGCTCCGAGACTTTGGTAACCATCACCCAGGGAACCAGATTCACCAGGTACTTGGGGAGAAACCAAAGGGATACCTTCCTAACTCAATCGCGATCCGCTACCGTAGGAAAGACGACTTGCAACACCCCAATCGCTAATCGACACTGCTCCGTGGCACCCCCACAGTCGCCCCAGCGTGTGCTGAAGGTGAGCGATGGAGGGAATCTCCCCGATGACTCTGCCCAGGAGGGACAAATCACTTCGCAGGGCACCCACAACAACATCGTCGTCGCCAAATACCACCCTTTTAACAGCAACCACGGTAGGTCAGGTAAAAAGTCATTGTAAGGGAATACTCGCAATTGAGAGAGATGGGAGGGTGTAGCAACACAAAGGCGATAAAAATCAAGGATCCCAGACCGGGGCTTTTAAAAGCCCCATCGGATATGGCCGTTTCCGGCGCCGCAAGAGGGCGGAGTGGCCAGTTACGACGAGTCGCAGCGCGCGAAAAAGGCGATCCCACTTCCAACGATAGAGAGAATGAGGAGAGGGCTTCTTTTCTTTTATTTTTTCCAGTTTTTTGTAGATTTTGGACAAGCAGAAAATTAAGAATTAATCCCTAATTTCGTACTAACGATGATCAGCTCGCAGTTTGACGTCCAAACGACGAACCGTTTTCACCTACACGACCTTAGAAACGAGGAGAATTTTTGGAAATCAACCACTGGATTTTAGAAATTAATTCCCGACTTGGAATTGACCGAATTAAGGTGTGTAGGGATTAAGAGGACCTTGATTATTGCATCGATTATTTATGCTTGATTTGCATATTTGGATGGATGGGTTAGTGTGGTTGATGACTTGGTTGCTGATACGATTATTTGGTGATTATTCTTTATTGTTGTGGATTTTACGATGTACATATCGGTATTTGAAAAGTTTCACTGTAAAAATGGATAGTTGGGTTTATTGAGTTTAAAAGTGATCGAAGATATTTTTGTTTTTCTAAAATGACGTTGGGGCAGATCGATTAGAAGATTTCACTTGAAAATGGTTTCCGGGTTAAAAACTGCATAACAGTGAATTTTACGGAAAGCTCGGTAAAAACGTGTTTTATTTATCTTTAAGATTGTGATCACTTGAAAATAGTTAGTGTGGATTGTTAAATGGGTTTTGGTCTGGAAATGTTAAATTAGACAGTTGGTGGAGTTTTTATCTTTAAAACGGTAAAAATCTTAATACGAGATTTGTGGTAAAGACCGAGTGTAATATTATTTTCATGGTTTTGAGCTATTGAAAATATATAAAAAATGGACAGATTTGTTTTAAGATGATAAATGGAGATTCATGTATTTTTGGGAGATTTTTCGGATTTACCGTTTTGTGAGAATTAAAGTTACCGTAAAATAATGGTTAATACGAGAATTTTGATATTTTATTGTATAAATTGATTTTTATGACCAGAAATGGATTGTTGTGTCAATCATTTAATTTACATGAATTTTGTGAGGATTTTAATGAAGGAAAGTGAATTTTGAGTTAAGGATATTTTTAACCGCAACCAGGTTATTTATAATTATTCGCATTGGGGCTATTTCGTGAAATTGTTCATGAATTTTGGATGAGGAATGGTGATATGGTACTGCTGAGTAGCTTTACTGGAGAATGAGTTGATTTATGTGATTTGGTATAAGATGATGAGATAGTTGATTTTTAGAAACGCCGAGTTGATAATCAGTGAGGCTACATTGATTCCGGATTGTTTGTGATGGATGGGAAAAATGGAAATGGTTTGATTCGTGATCATACTAATTCACACAGATGTAGAAAAGGCCTGCACTTACCCTCACCCCTTGAGAGTGGGTAGATTTAGCTCGCTTATGCGATTGAGTGTTGTGGTTGCATGAGCACCACAGATGAGTGTTATGGTTAAAAACCACGCATTGAGTGTTGTGGTTGTATGAGCATCACGAATAATGATTTTCTCGAGTGGGGGTAAGTGTATGGTGACCTTGGTGCCATTAATAATTAACCGGAATTTTCATATCATGCATTGATTATGTGTTCGTGAAATTATGTGATTATCTTATTGGACAAATTGATTTGGTGATGTACATCTGTAATGGTCACAATAGTATTGTTGAAACTTGCTTGAATATGAATAACCCCTTTTGGTACTTTACGCGCATTCTTACGTGAACTAATACGTCCATTCCTGCGTGAACCCATTTTTGGTAAAGGTTTTGCCATTTTTTAGCATCTCAAAAATATAAGATGAGTTGGTGGATTCGATAATTTGATCGATAATTTATATATGATGATTTAAGATGGCATCTAGAGTACTAAATTACGATTGATTATGATTGTTTGATTAGCTGATTGTGGTCCCAAACTTAGGTCGTGGGAAAGATCCACACACACAGCTTAGTTGTTGACCCACGTCTGTTTACAGGCTCGCAGGTGCAATTAGGATCGGACTACTGAGGCTGCCCTATCCTCCTGTACTACCATCATGAGATAGTTTGGAACATTGTTCTGTCATGGTCACCTAGGATTTCTACTTTGAGTGTTTTGAATAATAAACCCACATTTTGTAAAATTCAATTAGTGTTTAATTATCGAAAATGATGTTTGAGATGATTGAGTTCAACTAGTAACACCAAGGATTTGGCTGCGCGGTTGAACAACGGGTTCAACCATAGAGATTATGGGTGGGGTGTTATAAGTGGTATCAGATTTCGGTTAGTTCCATGCACTATAAAGTATGTTACCTTAATTTGCGAGGATTAGCTACCTTTAGTCGGGTGAAGGTACTCCATACTCGTATTTGCACCGAGACTTTCTGGGTGATGGGATCAATTGTGACAAAAATATTTTTGAAATGATTTTTAAATTTTTTGAGGAATTGAGAAACGATCTTTGGAAGGAGATTTGTGGAAGAAAACTAAATTTTGGTTTCTTTTTCTTTCTTTGTAGTGACCAGAACATTGTGGGCCCTCGTAACGTTCAGTTAGCACTGCTACCACCCCCCATCAGGGTGGAGTTTCCCCAACTTAAGAAATATGGGATGAAGGAGTTTCGAGGGGATAGCGACGTTCCCCAAGAAACGGCAATGTGGTTGAAAGAGTCGCGGATTCATTTCGATTACATGGGATATGATGAGGAGAAGAGGCTCCGAGCAATGGTTATTCTTCTTAAAGGCCATGCCTTGACTTGGTGGGGCTCTCAAGATGAGGGGCGGGTCTATCCGCCGCTCCTGACGTACCATGATTTTATGGCTATGTTCCGAGCGACTTTCTTTCCACCAGAGTGGCTATATAATAAACAACGAGAGTTCGATGATCTTAAGCAGGGGGAGATGTTTTTATTGTCTTACTACATCAAATTCTTTGAGTTATCAGAGTGGTGTGAGATTGAGACAGACCGAGATGAAAAGTTGGCCATGAGGTTCCTTCGCGGTCTCTAATACACCATCCAGGAGGGAGTCTCCTCAGCTGACATGGTAAGCCCGAATGCCATTAAATAGGTTGTCCTGAGGAAAGAGAACCTGGAGAATGCCAAAAGGGAATCCTGGAAGGAGAGTCTAGGTGATAGGAAGAGGAAGGCTTTTGTCCAACCGAGTCACTCGATCGGTTTCACCCAGCAGACCCAAAGGGGAGGGCAATACGATGTCAGGCCGAAGGTGACATATTCAGCTCCACAGACCAGGACGGGACCCGCTGGTTATCCACCATGCCCGACCTGTGGGAAGATGCACTTTGGGAAATGTAATAACTTGCCTCAAGGTATGATCATCTGCTTTGAGTGTGGCCAGGCTGGTCATGCTCGACCATAGTGCCGACAACTCGCCCGAGCACCGGCACCGTCAGTGGGATCTGTTCAAGGCCCGAGAACGCCATCGGCGGGAGTTTCCAAAGGAGCATCAAGGCAGGGAGGACGCCCCAGATCTCGAGGACCTGGAGCTAACTCCTATCCAGGGGGTGGACCGAGTCATCAACCCATGGGACGGGGAGCCGGAAACCATAATCAGGCGGGACTACGCGCTTTGACTAGAGATGCAGCGGAGGCCGCTACTGATTTTGTCACTAGTATGATAACTTGCTTTGTACATGTTCTATATGCCTTGTTTGATACTGGCTCTTCGCATTCCTTTATGTCTGAGAAATGTGCTAGTAACATGCATATCATATCAACTGAGCTGACTACCCGATGGGGTGTGAAAATACCATTGGGTACTTTGGTGGTAGTTAATCGCGGGATACGCGATTGTGATGTTGTGATGGGAGGAGTGGCATTGAAGGCAGAACTGATGATTTTGCCTTTCAATGAGTTCGATGTAGTTCTTGGCATGGATTGGTTATCCCGTCACGACGCAAAGATGGATTGCCAAAAGAAGCAAATACAATTATCTGGGGATGATGGTAAACATATAATATTCCAAGGGTTGAGAAGACAGAGGTCAACTCCAATGGGTATCATCTCGGCGATGGAGATGTATGCGTTGCTAAGGGAAGGGTGTCAAGCCATTCTTGTGCAAGTTGAGGTGACTAGAGAAGAGAAGTTGGAGGAAGTACGAGTTGTAAATGAATACCAGGATGTGTTTCCAGGAGACCTTCCTAGGGGGCCAATCGAACGGGAGGTGGATTTTAACATCGAGTTAGTACCTGGAACTGCTCCCATATTTATCCCACCGTATCGGATGGCACCAATTGAATTGAAGGAGCTAAAGGAACAGTTGCAGGAACTCTTGGACAAAGGGTTCATCCGACCTAGTATATCACCTTGGGGTGAACCTGTTCTATTTGTGAAAAAGAAGGATGGGTTAATGCGAATGTGCATTGACTATCGGAGGCTAAACAAGGAGACGGTTAAGAATCATTATCCACTTCCTCGAATCGATGACTTATTTTACCAACTACAAGGAGCAACAGTCTTTTCAAAAATTTATTTGAGGTCGGGATATCACCAGTTGAAGGTGGGAGAGAAAACCATACCGTTGACGGCTTTCCGAACACGGTATGGACATTATGAATTTTTGGTGATGCCTTTTGGACTTACTAATGCACTGACAGTGTTCATGGCTCTTATGAACAAAGTTTTCCATGAATATCTTGACAAATTTTTCATAGTATTCATCGATGACATTCTAGTGTATGCGAAGAGTGAGGAAGAGCATGCTGAGCACTAGAGATTGGTATTGCGAACTTTGAGAGAAAAAGAGTTTTATGCCAAATTCTCGAAGTGTGCATTCTGGTTTGAAGAAGTATTATTTTTGGGACACGTGGTGTCCAAAAGGGGCATAGAGGTGGATCCAAAGAAGATTGAAGCTATTGTGAATTGGACTCCACCTAAGGATGTTTCTGGAGTACGAAGTTTTCTGGGGTTAGCTGGATACTACTGTCGATTTATGGAAGGTTTTTAAAGATAGCCTCACCTTTGAAAAATTATTGAGGAAGGAAACCCCATACATATGGACGGAAGAGTGTCAGGAGAGTTTTTAAGAATTGAAGCAGAAGTTGACTTCAGCCCTAGTTCTGGCATTACCGGTGGAGGGAGGTGAATATGTGGTATACAATGACGCCTCATATCTTGGTTTGGGTTGTGTCTTGATTCAGAATGGGAAGGTGATTGCATATGCATCACGTCAGTTGAGGCCACACGAGTGAAACTACCCAACTCATGATCTAGAGTTGGCAGCTATCGTATTTGCCTTAAAATTGTGGAGGCATTACCTTTATGATGAAACGTTTAAAATCATGACCGACCACAAGAGTTTGAAGTATTTGATGGACCAAAAGGAATTGAATAATCAACAAAGAAGATGGTTGGAATTGTGGAAGGACTACGGCTGCACAATTGATTACCATCCTGGTAAGGCAAATGTAGTCGCTGATGCACTCAGTCGGAAGGGAAGGTTGACAGAATTAGTGGAAATGAGAGCTTTGTGTGTGGAGTTTCAGGTGGAGGACATCACCACCTTAATTGTACACCTAAGCATCCGACCACTAATTCATGATCAAATTAGAGAGAGTCAACAAGTGGATCCTGAGTGTATCGAGAAGTTGAAGCAAGTTGAAGCGGGGGAAGAAAGTGAATTTATGGTGGAAGAAAGCATACTGAAAAGGCATGGTCGTATGTGGGTTCCAGTGTCGGGAGATTCAAGACGAAGAATTCTGGAGGAATCCCACTCATTCATGTATGCCATGCATCCGGGGGTCACAAAAATGTATAACACAGTTAAAACACATTTTTGGTGGTCAAGAATGAAGCGGGAGGTGGCTGAGCATGTTCAAGCTTGTCTAGTTTGTCAAAAGACTAAGGCGGAGCATCGTGCACCAGCCGGATTCTTGCAGCCGCTGTCAATTCCAGAGTGGAAATTTAAGAGGATCACGATGGATTTTGTGAACGGATTTCCTTCTACCCGGGAAGGAAAAGATGCCATTTGGGTAATTGTGGATCGAATGACTAAAGTGGCACATTTTATCCCCATTCGATTCAAGCCAAGTATGAAAGAGTTATCGAGGTTGTACATAACTCACATTGTACGACTTCATGGTGTTCCTCTATCCATTGTCTCAGATCGAGATCCCAGTTTCACATCACACATTTGTAAGAGCTTGCAGGAGGCGATGGGTACGAGACTTAATTTCTCCACGGCTTATCACCCTCAGACGAACGGGCAGTCTGAGCGTACGATACTTACTTTGGAGGAGTTATTACAAACATGTGCAGTGGAAACAGATGGACCTTGGACGGGTTTACTACCCTTGGTGGAGTTTGTCTATAACAACTCTTACCATAGTAGTTTGCAGGCTGCACCATTTGAAGCTTTGTATGGAAGGAAGTGTCGTACCCCACCATGTTGGGATATTGAGGGTACTCGGGTTCTTACCAGACCGCAAATGGTCCAAGATACGGAGGAAAAAGTGAAGGTGATCAAAGAGAGATTGTGGGTAGCTCAAGATCGCCAGAAGTTATATGCCAATAGGAAGGCTCGAGAAGTTAGCTATGATGTGGGAGAGAAGGTGTTCTTAAAGGTGTCACCATGGAAAGGATTGATGAGATTTGGAAGAAAGGGTAAATTAGCGCCTCGTTACATTGGTCCCTACGATGTTATCTCCAAAGTAGGACCCGTGGCATATGAGCTCGCATTACCCCGTGAGTTGGAGAAAATTCACAACGCATTCCACGTGAGTATGTTGAAAAAGTATCATATCGATCCATCTCATGTGATACAACTCGAAAGGGTGGAGTTGTAGCCAGATTTGACCTATGAAGAAAAATCTGCAAGCATTGTGGATCATCAGGTGCGTATGCTAAGAAGCAAGCAAATCCCAATGCTCAAGGTTATCTGGCGTAATCAAGAGGAAGAGACTGAAACCTGGGAAACCGAGGAGAGTATGAAGAAGACGTACTCCGAGCTAGTTGAAGCTTATGCTCAACATATGTCGACCTAGTACCTCAGGTATTAGATCGATACGAGTAGGCAGGGGCGGATACATGGCGCATTAGGAGTGTCCTGTGACACCCCTAAAATTTGGGGAAACGATTATTCAACCCACGATAGTAATTTTGTATGGATAAAAAGAAATTTAATTGATAATCTAGGACACTTCTAAAATTTGAAAAAACAATGATCCTACGTACCCTCGGTAGTAGTTTGTGTTCAATTAAAAATAGTAGTTTGTGTTATTCAATTCTAGGACATTACTATTATCAAACATATTCTCCAGTAGGCTGCAACTCATTTTTTGTTCTATTTTAAACACTATGTAATAGTAACAACGATATTCCTTATCCCCAACTATTTTTAAAACCTAACAATTAAACTAATTACGGGCTACCCTTAATTTGAATTGATTTAATGGTTACACAACAAGTGTTGAAATAGTTTTTTCAACTTTGAGTTACACCAAGAACAATGTTAGAAATCGAATATGCGATTAGTTCGTGAATTATTGTATAGTAGGCTATACAGATTTGTTGAGCAATGTAGATACCAAGTCTATTTTTATATCTTTTAAAGAATATGAAAACATGTCGGTTCTTTTGTTAAAAGTTTTACTAATCGAACATTTTCTTATTTGTGAAGTATTTAATTTTTTATTTGATTTAATTTTTTTTAAGAAGGATACTCTTATAAAAAAATTCTGAATCCGCCACTCCGAATAGGGTACATTGTAATATATAACCTCTAATGTAGAGTGAGTGAATAAGTATGAAATAAAAATTTCTAAGCCACTACATACTTAATAGTGGCCAAGGGAAATTATCATGTCGTCGGGCTAAGTTAATCGAAGATTTCGACGGACCGATTTCGGGGACGAAATCTAATTAAGAGCGGCAGAGCTGTAACATCCGGAAATCGGATAAATTTTTGTTTCAAGTAGATGACTTATATTTTATGATTCGAGACTGGACAAAAATCTAGAAGTTATCCTATGCGAGATAGGATCAGTGAAACCACTCGGAAACTCCCAAACCATTAAAAATGGAAGAAAAAATAAATTGGTGTGTTGCTAGAATCAATCCACTAACCTTCTGGTCACTAAGGAAGGATCAGTGAAACCACTCGGAAACTCCCAAACCATTAAAAATGGAAGAAAAAATAAATTGGTGTGTTGCTGGAATCAATCTACTAACCTTCTGGTCACTAAGGAAGGAGCTAGCAGCTTAACCAGCTACGCCAGCTGTAATTAGTGTTAATGAAAGCACCCTGCTCGATTCTAACCTTTATTGACCGCGTGCCCTGGCAGCAACACCATTTATTTAGCGGTGCCTACTGTGGGAACTTGGAAGGGGATCACCACAATTCTGAAACATGAAGGCGGCCTTCTAAGAGCCTTCAAGGCACCTACAGAGAGTAAAGAGGGAGGAGGATGAGTTTGAACAGCCTTTAAAGGCTTGGTGACCTCCCTTCATCTTTTTCTTTCCTCAAACCCACCCTTGGAGGAAACCTCCCTTATATATGTGAATTAGAAGTGACAGGAAAGAGGGAACAGATAAGAAGTCCTAGAATACTCTCTGTAATCCTAGCAAAGGTCAAGAACCCATACAAACCTAATTATAAAGCCCAAATCGTCAAACCAACTCACCGAAGTTTCTTCGCCGAAATTTTTGTTGTAACCTTTTCGTCAGCCAAACGAGCACATCTAAAGGAAGTATCAGCTTTGAAGCTTGATACCTTTGCGAAGAGAAAGTCTCCACGAGCATCACAGAGTTTACGGAATTAATTATGAGCTCAGACGAGGGAGAAACAAGGTCTGGAAGTTGGTATGTGAGGTAAGGGAATTTCCAGTTTTCTGCAGACTTTGGATAAGCAGAAAATTAAGAATTAATTCCTAATTTCGTACTAACGATGATCAGCTCGCAGTTTGACATCCTAACGACGAACCGTTTTCACCTAAACGACCGTAGAACGAGGAGAATTTTTGGAAATCAACCACTAGAATTTTAGAACTTAATTCCCGACTTGGAATCGGCTGAATTAAGGTGTGCGGGGATTAAGAGGACCTTAATTTATTGTATTGATTATTTATGCTTGATTTGCATATTTGGATGGATGGATTAGTGTGGTTGATGATTTGGTTGCTGATATGATTATTTGGTGATTATTCTTTATTGTTGTGGATTTACGGGGTACATATCGGTATTTGACAAGTTTCATCGTAAAAATGGATAGTTGAGTTTATTGAGTTTAAAAATGATCTAAGAGATTTTTGTTTGTCTAAAATGATTTTGGGTCAGATTGATCAGAAGATTTCACTTGAAAATGGTTTCCGGGTTAAAAACTGCATAATGGTGAATTTTACGGAAAGCTCGGTAAAAACGTGCTTTATTTATCTTTAAGATTGTGATCACTTTAAAATGGTTAGTGTGGATTGTTAAATGGGTTTTGGTCTGGAAAGGGTAAATTAGATAGGTGGTGGAGTTTTTATATTTAAAATGGTAAAAACGAGCTTAATACAAGATTTGCGGTAAAGACCGAGTGTAATATTATTTTCATGGTTTTGAGCTATTGAAAAATATAAAAACTGGACAGACCTGTTTTAAGATGATAAATGGAGATTCTTGTATTTTTGGGAGATTTTTCGGATTTACCGTTTTGTGGGAATTAAAGTTACCGTAAAATAATGGTTAATACGAGATTTTTGATATTTTATTGTATAAATTGATTTTTATGACCAGAACTGGATTAAATGGATTTTTGTGTCAATCAATTCATTTACATGAATTTTGTGAGGATTTTAATGAAGGAAAGTGAATTTTGAGTTAAGGATATTTTTAACCGCAACCGGGTTATTTATAATTATTTGCATTGGGGCTATTTCGTGAAATTGTTGATGAATTTTGGATGAGGAATGGTGATAATTGATATGGTACTGTTGAGTAACTTTACTGGAGAATGAGATGATTTACGTGATTTGGTATTGGATGATGAGATAGTTGATTTTTAGAAACGTCGAGTGATAATTGACGGGAAATATATATGGACCGGTTAATCAATGAGACTACATTAATTCCGGATTGTTTGTGATGGATGAGTAAAATGGAAATGGTTTGATTCGTGATCATATTAATTCACGTAGATGTAGAAAGGGTCTGCACTTACCATCACCCCTTGATAGTGGGTAGATTTAGCTCGCTTATGCGATTGAGTGTTGTGGTTGCATGAGCACCACTGATGATGATTTGCTCGAGTAAGGGTAAGTGTATGGTGACCTTTGCGCCATTAATAATTAACCGGAATTTTTATATCATGCATTGATTATGTGTTCGTGAAATTATGTGATTATCTTATTGGATAAATTGATTTGGTGATGATGAGTTGGTGGATTCGATAATTTGATCGATGATTTATATATGATGATTTAAGATGGCATCTAGAGTACTAAATTACGATTGATTATGATTGTTTGATTAGCTGATTGCGGTCACAAAATTAGGTCGTGGGAAATATCCACACACACAACTTAGTTGTTGTCCCACGTATGTTTTCAGTCTCGCAGATGCAATTAGGATCGGGCTACTGAGGCTGCCCTATCCTCCTCTACTACCATCATGAGGTAGTTTGGAACACTGTTCTGTCATGGTCACCTAGGATTTCTGCTTTGAGTGTTTTGAATAATAAACTCACATTTTGTAAAATTCAATAAGTGGATTAGGGTTCGAATAATGAGTTTGTATGATAACAGTTTATGTTGGTGTTTAATAATCGGATATGATGTTTGAGATGATTGTGTTCAACTAGTAACACCTAGGATTTGGCTGCGCGGTTGAACCACGGGTTCAACCATAGAGATTATGGATGGGGTGTTACATCAACTGTAAGTATTACTTGTCTTCTACGACTACAAACTCTGATCAAGTGCTTTAGCTGTCTAACTAGCTACTTGGTATAATGCTCCACGATTACAGACATGCGTACATTAGTTCTATAAAAGCTCAAACCCCATCAAAAGCTTCACATTCTTCAGCTTCTCGCCTTTCTCATCGTGAAGATGGACTGATCGGATCCCTTGTCTTAGCTCGGAGACGGGCAAACATGTCTGCCCACCAAAATCATCTTTCTCGGACATGTCATATTCCCGAACCTCGATTCGGAGCAGAGCTAGCTCTGAAAGCGTCAATGGGAACGTGAACTCTTCGTTCCATACGGGCGACCAATTGTCCTCGATGATCCTCGTTTTCTTTCGTGTCGAATCAGCTGCTGCACCAACAATGTAAATCTGCACACATACGTTGGATAACATGACGATACATTATCGAGTTCTGAAATGGGTTTCATACCACTATAAGTTCTAAACTCGGTAAAGAAGCTATATTTGTGGGAAAAATTTTACGCTTCAATGTGATTCGAGTGTTTATTTGGTCGTTAAAGTCAATAAATTCAATTCATCAGAAGAACTCAGTGATAGAACTACCTTAGTGTAGAAGTCTGGTGGTGAATAAGCATCAAAGTGTGTGTGGCTAAAGTCCAAGCGCCATCCATCACCCAAATACACCTTCACCTATGAAACAGAATGAATGAAAGTATGAAAATGAGATCTTCCAGGGTACATGATCGAATTAAAATTTCAAGAGTAGTAACCTCACCTTTAATCGTTTCTGCACTAACAATTTTTTCTTAGGATCGAAAACCTCACTATTGATGCCTTTCTTCATTAACAAATCAGGCTTTTTCACGTACCCACATCCTCCATTAGCCTTAAACATCCCATGCATCAACCAAAGTGATTTCCCATATCCCTACATAAGAACACAATCATAAAAAAAACTGGACATGCCTTCTAAGCAATAAACACAAGAACTTCTGCAACGTGACTACGTGAGATCACCTGCATGTTGAATGCTATCATTTGTGCCCCATGCATCCATCCCACCATCGGTTTGTAATTTGAGGATGTGATTCGTGTTCCCTTTGGATAAACTCTCAATATATTCTTTTGCGTAAATCTGGAAAAAAGGCAGTCCATGTGTAAGATAGGTTGTTTCAAATCCACGAAATTTCTATGGCATCGATCAGAGAGTCTTTGACAGTACCTAACTACATAGGTTCCATTAGTAGTGGCAGCCTTCTCAAGCTCCTGCTCGCTCAAACTAAGTCGTCTAACTTTTTCAGCTGCAGGCTGCAATGCATCTTTTAAGGCACCCTTTGGTTTCCCAGCATGAATGGTAATAAGCCTCTTGTACCCTGGAGAATTTAGTTGCCCTGATTTTCTGCAGTCACTCGGATCTTCATCTTCTTGCTCACTGCTGCTCTGCAGCATATATGGATTCATGCAATTTCATTGCAAGATTCATCAAGCAAGATATGAACAATGAGTATTAGTCACATAGATTCACTATAAGGATGTAATTAGTTACCAACCCACCGGCCTCTCACAATTGGCTTCTGTTTCGGAAGTTCCAATCCCATCTTCGTCATCATCATCATCCTCAGACCCATTATCTCGTGGAGTTCCCTTTTGTTTGATGCCACTCGATTCAAGATACTCTTTTGGTGGTTTGGTCGAGATCATGACTCGATATTTCAGTAGCTCTGGTGAAGGAAACTGAATCAAGCTATCTGACTCCGGGTAATACAACATGTCCCCAAAAATTTGAACCAGCATCTACACATTATTCAAACGTATTACTCATTAGCCACCATAAAAGCAAGGGCATTTCAAAAGTGTAATGAAAGGTTGACATTCAAGGGAATATGAATCAACCTCTGCAACTTTCTCCTGAAGCTCTGGCGTAAGGTGATCTTCCAACGTGATGATGACCGGATAAGGAGAGCGAACGAATGCGTAGTCTCGTATTGACTTCAAGCATTTGAAGAGCGACACAGGCGTGGTCAAGGTCCTATATAATTCATTAGCTTTCATCCTCTACCTCTAAACACATTGATTCAATCAGGCTTAACCGAAACTATAAATGGGTTATCTGTATATAGTATTTACCTTCCGTGAAGAACAAGGACCTCATCCTTAGACGAATTAGGCCATAAATCTAGCTCAATCACCCTAACCCCTCTTTGTAAAGCTCTTACAATGGGGACCTCGCTGCAATCACTACTGAGTTGATTCCCAGTTAGGTAGGAATTATGGCCTGTATATATGAAATAATGTGACAATGGCTCACATATGTCATGGTGCACCTGTTCAATCACATTACGGAATTTCTCTGTCAACATATCGGAAACCCTGAATAACAATTTTTCCTTATGAATATGTAATGTGGTTACAAATGTCATTTCACCTGTTTGTTGATAGGTCCATTGAGGTCGTCGGAGAGCAAGAGATGGAAGAAGTCGTCGAGATTGAGGCCATTCCTCGCGTACCTCGTCAAATGGTGCCTCCGGTGAAGGACTTCGGCCACGAGCCTCTCGGCTTCCTCGAGCGTGCAATTGGGCTCGCTTTGGTGACCCGCAAGGAAGCTACGAAACTGATCGACGGTCATCTCGTGATGGCCCTCCGAATATTGGGCGAAGAGGTTTTGGACGTCGGCCGACGGCTCGAGCTCCGTGATTTTGAACTTCCGATTGAAGAAGCTGAACATCCGGTAGTTATAGCTACCCTTGTTGTCATTGATGTTGTCTTCGGCGTTGGAGTACTCTGCCATCTTGTCCTTCTTCCCCATTTTGTCGTTGAATGGTCGAGCTCGAGCCCCCCAATACCCTTTTTCTCTCTGATCTTGGATCTTTTTTCCTTTTCTGGGTATTTGGAAGACGGGGAGAGGGGGAAAGGGCTAGAATAGAGAGTTTGAAAGCTCAAATCGTGGGAGGCTTCTTTCATGTTAATGATGTCAATCTAACAAACGTCTTTCTTTTTTGGGGACTTCTTCAGTTTCTTTTTTGTTTTTTTTTTTTTTGTTTCATGCCGCATTGATGCGTATTTTGTTTCGTTGGGGCGTCTAGTTTGTAAAGTCTGGTATATAAGGGGTCGGATACTATGCTAACCCTTAAAGGAGTAGTGATTTTCGACACCTTCCTTTTGATTGGTCAGTTTTATACTTAATTATTAGACAAGTATTAATGGCTGTCTCAAATAAATATGGATGGAGAAAGAATTAATTGTCATATTAATTATGCATGGGAAGAGGGGCAATTTAGCTGGATCCTCTTTTCCTATGTGCCGTTTCTACTCCCTTTTCCTTTGTTTCTATTTTCCCCCTCCCTCCTCTGCTATTTCCCCTTGTTTCTTTCCATTGCTGTGGAGAACCATAGCTCTGGTTCATCATTACACGGCTGGCGGATATCACCACCGCCCTTACAACAAGTCCGACCATCCATGTCGTCGGCCGTCTGCCGTCCTCCGTCTTCCATCTCAAACATCACCTTCCAACAACTTCCTCTTATCCACGGCCTGCGCTTCATCTTTTCCTGTTGACCACCGTCCTTCCACGGTAGAGATTCGATCAACCCTAAGTGGCGGCGACAGAATCTGAAGGTGAGGGTGGTACCACTAGGCGGCAGAGGAAACACACCAATAGACTGGTACATGTACCAGTGGAGTGGTACGTGTACCAGTGGAGTGGTACGTGTACCAGTGGACTTTGGAATACATCGTCATGAAAATATTGTGGTCTCCACCACTTTTGAAGTTTGGAATTGATTTTATTATTTTTCTGTTGTCGTAATTATTGGTCAACTTCTTTCAATGTCATTGAAATATCTTTGCCGACGAGTAATGAATAGAAATGGTATTCGCACAACTTCGGCGGTAATCATACTACTTCAGTGGTAGATATATACCACTGAACTTGTACTATACCACTAGACTGGTATACATATCAATTAACTGGTACTTATACCACTATACTGGTACTTATACCACTGAACTGATACTAATTAAGACTGTCCTTAATATACCAATACTCATACTTACTTGATCATGAAATATAATTCTGGCACAAGCAACACAATAAACATTTAAATCAGTCAACAAAATAGGAACTTTCTATTAGTAGCCAAAAGTTGTGTTACAAAATGGGTTGCAAAATCAGGAAAATGCCAACAACAATGCCAAAAGCAATAAATTATCCTTCGAATGTGAATAAACATAAAGTCTTCACAATTTTTTTAAGCCTAAACAGGACATATGGTTACTAGTACCACTCCACTGGTACATGTACCACTCCACTGGTACACGTACCACTCCACTGGTACACGTACCACTCCACTGGTACACGTACCACTCCACTGGTACACGTACCACTCCACTGGTACATGTACCAGTCCATTGGTGCGTTTCCTCTGCCGCCTAGTGGTACCACCCTCACCTTCAGATTCTGTCGCAGCTTTTACCACTGTTCACCACTGTTCAAACTCTCCACTTTCACTCCACTGGTACACGCACCACTCCACTGGTGCATGTACCAGTCCATTGGTGCGTTTCCTCTGCCGCCTAGTGGTACCACCCTCACCTTCAGATTCTGTCGCCGCCACTTAGGGTTGATCGAATCTCTACCGTGGAAGGACGGTGGTCAACAGGAAAAGATCAAGCGCAGGCCGTGGATAAGAGGAAGTCGTTAGAAGGTGATGTTTGGGATGGAAGACGGAGGACGGCAGACGGCCGACGACATGGATGGTTGGACCTGTTGTAAGGGCGGCGGGGATATCCCCTGCGTGTTTTCCTCCTCCGACGAGCAACCCACCAGGCGGGTTGGAGGCGATCCCACTGCGACGCTGCCCGATGTTTCCGATTGCGAAGGGTTGCGGCCGGGTTCTAAAGTCGATGGTTCGGGACGAAAGACAGACGACTTCCGACGGGAGGGATGGTTTACGGCGGCGATTTGATGAGTCGGCGGCGAAGGGTTGCTTGCGGGTTCTGAATCCAGAGATATAGAAGGGGAAGGAAACTGAAACGGTGAAATTAAAAAAAGGTAAGGGGGAATGAATAATTATGAGTGGGGGAAGGAACCCCCTATTTACTTCTTTCTCTTTTTTGATGTAATTAATTACTGAATTAATTACCAATTAACAACTATTTGCAATGACCATTAGATTAAGACTATCTAAAATGGACGGTAAACAAAGTGGGTGTCGAAAATCACTACCCCTTTAGGGGTAGTCAAGCTAACCGAACCCGGTATATAATGAATAGAGTTAGATTAAAAGCGTGTTTGGGATAATTTACATTGGATTTAATTTAATTTAAATTAAATGTGTTAGAGATCCAGTATATAACGAATAGAGTCGGATTAAAAGCGCGTAAGCTAAATATCATGTAGTTGTAGCTCCCCATTGTTGTCGTTAACGTTAGAATGCATGGCCTTCTTGTCCTTCCCACGATATTGTTGAATGGTCAACGTTCCAATACCCTCTTGCAGGCCATGTTGTTATTGGTTGCCTAATTCGAGATCATACAGGATGCTGCTAGGCAAAGCTCACTCTTAATTTGGGGATGTGCTCCATCACCGAGGTTGAGTGGAGGGGTGATTTAGAGGGCCTTCAGCATTGGCGGATTCAGCACATAGTAGAACACTGAGCCTCATTTATATAGAAAATTAGATACCAACTAGCACTGGGTCGAAAAAGACGTTGAGAGCTAGTGAAACAAACATGTGTCGTTTGTTATACTAGCATGGACCCAAATAAGGGTTGGGTCGTGGTCCGAGTTGGCCTCCCCCTAGATCCCCTACTGACCTTCAGTTGGCTTGACATGTTATACATAAGCGAATCAAAGTACAACTTGATTCTCGCTGCTTCAAAGTTGATACAAGAACGACTATTTGAGTATCAGCATGTGACAGTCATCCTCCACTTCAGAGGGCTTAATCATGGCATGAGATTGGGATATAGAAATCTCTAGTGATTATAGAGAGGGTAACAAGAGTAGTCGTTATTTGGCTAGTTTGGGGCACAACTTGTCTTTGGGGTTGCATTGTATTTCGACGTTTTATCATCTCTCATGGTTTTTAATGTAAATTAGGGTATGAGTTACATCCATTTATATATGAAAAATCAGTTGATTTATATTTTTCTTTATTTATGACAGGTTCTATGAAATCATAATTGAATTCTATCGTATTTGATTCAAATGTCAATTTGATCATTCATAATAATGATGAGTTGCACGAAAACAAATTTGATAATTAAGGAGGGTTATCTTAGTCAAATGAGTAACCTCATTATGTTTGTTGGTTTGCACCCTAATAAATGAGTGGAGGAGTATATTGTGATGTTGATTTGCTAAATTTGATGCAGATCTGACTATTTAGTTAGAGCTCAATCAGTACAACAAAGATAATCTAACAAAAATTAATATTAGGGACTTGATTGCAAATTGTAAGAAGATGTGGGAACTACCACAAAGAAAAGGATAACTGGATAAGGAATTTCAACGGAAATTTTCCCATAAAGGAAAACCGTTACTCACGTTTACAAAGTCCAGGGAGCTGTTCGTAATTTTACTTTCCTTTTCCTCCCGGTGGTGACCAACTACTCAAGTCAAGTCATCACTCAATACTTCACCAGTCGTCGCGTCGTCCGGCAGCCGAAAGAGGGAAAGAATATGTCAACCACAACGCGGCTGATCTCCGGCGCTCTCATCTGGATCATTGTTCTCTTCGGAACCCTAGCTTTCATCCAGGTACGCCGCCCGGCCATCTTCCCTCCTCTCCATTTCTTCAATTAGCGAGGAAGTAGACGAATTGGTTAGGTCGAGAATGGAAATCGAACTTCAAATTGAGCGAAATCAGAGCTCAATTCGTCTTCGTATTGACTATGTCTGAATCCGATTGGTCTTTTCTCCCCGAACTGGCAGCATCGATTAAGCGATCCTGGAATTTCATTGGAGTCCAACAAAGCCGGAGAGGTATGGATTTTGTTCTTCTTTTGGCCATTACGCTTCTCTGCACTGCTTGCTAAAAGTGGGGGAAATTTTCGCGGGTTTGGAGTAGGAGAAGAAATTGGCAGAGGGTTTGGAAGAAGAAGTGACTCACAAAGTATACTTCGATGTTGAAATCGGCGGAGAAGCTGTGGGTAAGAAGGTGGCTTCCTTCTGATGGCATCTGATTTCTGATTCGAGATCGAACCCTAATACCCCATTGTTTGAATGAGGTTCTCTGGTCATTTCGATCGCTAACTGCGCTTTTGCCCCATTTCGATCTCAGGCCGCATTGTGATGGGTTTATTTGGGAAGACAGTCCCAAAGACTGCAGGTAAACGAGCTGATAGATCAGTAGAACACAATGTAGTATTTCTTACTGTTCTGGAAAACTTGTGAACGGATGTCTAACTGTTGTTTGTTTGTTGCAGAGAACTTTCGAGCACTATGCACCGGTAGCCAAGTAACTCTTGTTCCCGTTTGCTTGAGGTCTCGAAACCTTTTTAGTTGTGCTGGTTTTTACGTATTTATTGTAATCCGATTTCAGGGGAGAAAGAGAAAGGAATGAGTGGGAAGCCTCTGAACTACAAAGGGAGCACATTCCATAGGATCATACCTCAGTTCATGATCCAAGGAGGGGATTTCACGAGTGGTGATGGACGTGGTGGAGAATCAATCTACGGTGGGAAGTTTGAGGATGAGAACTTCAAGCTGAAGCACACCGGGCCAGGTAATCTACTATAGAATTCATGGTTTTGCACTCAAAGTTTCTGCGATCTGAGTACAATTTGGACTTTAACAAAAACCCTGAGATATCTAATTCACCAAAAACAGGAATGATGTCGATGGCGAATTCTGGGCCGGATACGAATGGATCCCAGTTCTTCATCACAACAGTTGTAACCAGCTGGTAAAGATTCAGTCTTTCGTTTCCGTTCTTGGCTTGCCTGAGTAACTCCAGCTCAACTCACAGTTTCTTATTCCCTTCTCCACACCGGGATCGGACAGGTTGGATGGGCATCATGTGGTGTTTGGGAAGGTGCTTTCTGGGATGGACATTGTGCAGAAGATCGAAGGCCAAGGCCAAAGCGACGGTGTCCCCAAGAGCAAAGTCGTCATTGTAGACAGCGGCGAAATGCCCATGTAAGTGTAAAACTGAAACAAGTCTTTCTCCTGTTTTTGCCCCTTCCCTTTCCACACTCAGAAGAAAAGGTGCTTTCCTATTCTGTACACACCTGGTGTAACTGTAACTTGATCTTTCTATACGCCCCTAGCATGGAACATTATACTACTCTGCCACCTTCTGTCTCAATTCTGCTATCCTCCTCATGCAGATAAGCATAACGAAATCGTTAAATTTTTCAATCGAGAGTCGAATGGTTGTGCGCTAGGGATGGCAAATTACCCACCCATGGGTAATTATACCCAAACCCAAGTAGACCCATTGATAATGGGTTGGGTATGGGTGAAGTGCATATGGATTTGGGGGTTTATAGATGGGTTTGGGTTTGAGGCTTCCATAATCTAAATGGGTATGTGTTGGATATGGATATCCATTTACTTGAGGGTGTTTTAACTACACATGCAAAAATTGGACCTATTTGCAAAACTTAAAAAGTTTAGGTACCAAAATGTAAGACCAAAAAAATTTAGGTACCAAAACGTAATTTTCAATTGATATTTTGAGGACTTATATGCAAAAAAATTTAAATTTAGGTACTAAATATGCATGTCTATTAAGTTTGGGTACCAAACTGTAATTTGTATTTGGGCATGGGTACAAACCCAAATCCATTTGATATAAACCCAACTCAACCCAAAGTAAATGGGTATGAGTACAAACCCATCAAACTCTACCCATATCCATTTATTTGGATTTTATACCCAACCCAATTGGGTTGGATAGTAAGAAACCCATGGGTATGGGCAAAGTTGCCATCCCTAGCCATAGCTGGTTCTGTGTATCGCGAGCATCACAATCATCTAATTCTCGACTGACTAGCTAAGAACTCGTATTAACGTCCTATTTGTCTACTCCTTCCCTCATCAGGAAACATAAGCAAGAAATACAGTAAACCACACCACAAAAGCAATCAGACAAGACCAATTTTTAACAAGTCAAGAAGCTTCTTCTATTATTCATTCCACTTGGTTGACTTACTAAAACAAAGGCAAAGACAGAGATCTGTTTATTAAAGCTTCTTAGGCCTTGGTACCGCCGTGGCGGCCGTCAGCGTCCTTGCCGTTCCGGTGACGGAACGAGGAGGCGAAATTGGAGGAGAGGTCGGAGTAGAGGGAGGACACGGTGGAGATATTGTGGTTGATCTCCTGGATCAGCGGCACGTTCTTGGCCATGTTGTCGGGGATTCGGGACTGGTGGTTGTCGTTCACCTGCTGAATCAGCGACCTGTTCCTGTCCAGCACCGTCTGCACCTTCCGAAACGTCCCGCTGAAATTCGCCCACACCTCGCCGTCTCCTTCCTCGCCGTCGCGGCGGTCGTTTCTGTTTCCGTCGGCCATGCTGGGAATTTGGGCGGCGGAGCGGTGATTTATTGCGGTTGGTGAGATGGGATGAGAAAGGGGAAGGCAAGGCAGATTGTGGGGGGAAGTTTACGGGGACTGGCAATTTTTGTAATGGGGAAAGTGCGGAGAGAGAGAAGAGGGCCGACGCGAGGGAAGAGAGGGTGGCGAAGGGAGGAGAAACGGTGGCGCGTGGTGGACCAAGTGGTGACGACACGCGCAGGTGGTGCGAGTGGCGGGAAGCGAAGCGAGGTGGGTAAATATCTTATGCTGATTTGGGATTTTTTTTTTTTTTTGACGAATGCTGATTTGGTATTGGAAGGACGGAAAAGAGCGGTGGTATCTTACGCTTTTCGTACACTTTTGGCACTTCGAATATTTTAGATTTTTTGTCATAGGAAATATCTAAGCATGGTAAAATATCTAAGCATGGTCAAAGTCTTTTGTTACATCATTGGAAATTCATATCCAATCACCCAACAAGGTAAACAAATTTCGGGCCCCTTAAGAGATATAAACACCATATAAAAAGCTCACACTTCAAACCATAAAGCAAAGATAAGGCCAAAAAATAAAAACATGGGTCATTACTTAATTTATCAAAATGTTAAGCATTGTATACAAAAAATTTCTTAGTGAGAAAAGTTAAATTGAGGGATCGAATGTGCAATTCTGCCCTAATAAATCGAGCAAGTCTAAAAAATTCTCAGATGGAGGGTATTTGACACATAAAAGAAAACAACCAAACCAACAGAGCAACCGTCAAAACTACGAAGAGATATGTTTACCCATAAAAATTAACCTTGTATCACATCGGTTAAAAATAAGAAATTAAATGGCTTTATAAGGCCAATTTAATCATATAAGTTTAAATCAGTTGAGTGGGCCATGACGATTGGGTTTTTGGGCCCATTACCCCATGCCACCACGCGCGCCATGCATCTCCAAATTTAGCTAAGTATGGGAGCCACCCCCAGGACGTGGCAAGGGGGGTGGCCACCATCACCCCCCCCCCCCCCCCCCCCCCCCCCGGGGGGGACGTTCCTAGGGGTGTGGACATCATACCCCATGACATGGTGAGGGGGGTGATGGCCGAATTTGACTAAGGCAAGGGGAGTGGGCATCATACCACCACCCTCAGGAGGTACCAAGGGGCCATGACGTGCCTAGGTGGGTGGACATCATAGCACCACCCCCCAGGACGTGGTAAGGGGGGTGGACATCATACCCCCATGACATGGTGAGGGGGTATCATACCGCCATCCCCATGACATGGTGAGGGGGTACCACCACCCCCAGGACGTACCGAGGGGACGAGAAGATGTAAAATGTGGCTAAGTATGGAAGATGATGAGGGTGGCAAGGAGGACCCCCATGAGGTGGTCTGGGGACTACCAACATACCACCCCCATGGGGCGAGAAGATGTAAAATGTGGCTAAGTATGGAAGATGATGAGGTGGCAAGGAGGACCCCCATGAGGTGATCTGGGGACTACCAACTTACCACCCCCATGGTATGAGAAGATGTAAAATGTGGCTAAGTATGGAAGATGATGAGGGTGGCAAGGAGGACCCCCATGAGGTGGTCTGGGGACTACCAACGTACCACCCCCATGGTATGATCAGGGGGTGTGAGCACGTAGTCTCTTTACTCTACTAATGGTGAAATACTTTTTCCCATGGTAACTCATGTTATTCAAATACCCACCCATATGTGGTAAATGGTATTCCTTTATGCCTTAGCCATTTTTACTCTATGGATATGCAAAACTACGAAGGAGGGGGTCAAGACTGAAGAACATCCAACATCAGGGTAACCGTCATAGCAGTTGAGAAGGTAACCGTAACTCCACGTCAGCAGAGCAGTTTCTTGGGGCAGTTACTTCTGGTGGCTATAAATAGGAGGTGAAGATGATAGAGAAAGGGTTCGCAAAAATCACAACTCGACACCACTTGTCAAGTTTTATCTTTTTATCTTTTCCTCTGCAGATTTAGCCATAGTCGTAGTTTTTGGAGCTCTCACTGAACCTCCATAGGAGTAGGGCTAATTTAATGTAGATTTGCCTCGTAGTTCATCAAAACATTGAACACCCTTGTTTGAACTTTGTTCAAAGAGGTGTGAACTATGTGGTTGATCGTTTGTTTGGAAGTCAAAGGTGCAAAATCCAATTCTCTTTCCTTTATTTTTCTCGCCGGGAAAACAAGATGCCAACGAAAGGAGGATTCCGACGACCTAGAAATTGTCGGGTAGCAAGTCACTCCCGTAGAAACATGGAAAATCAAACCTTGATGAAAGAATGCAATCTGACAAACCGTTGAGAGAACCAAGAAAACCGATAAGAAACCCATATTGATTGATTTCCGCCTTTGAAACATCTAACCGGAGTGATGGAGCAAGGTGGAGTATAAGAGACATGAGAGAGATGGCAAATTGAAAAATCCTAACCCTCTGTCACCAAATAACACCTTAATTAGGGATGGTAATGGGTCGGGTTGGGTCGGGTTTTATCAAACCCAAACCCATGGGTTTATCCGCCAAAAAAACCCGGGGTAATACACCCAGGGTAAAACCCGTTGGGTATGAAAAATTCAAACCCAACCCAACCTGCTGGGTATCCGCTGGTTCATGGGTAGCCGTGGGTTTTTGTGGTAAAAATTTACAATAACAAGTTTCTTTCAAAATAAAAGTTTAACATCAATTTTCTCATACAAATTAATCATACAAAAAACACCAATCTATGACATACAAGCAAAGCGCAAATGATCAATACAAATTATTCAAAATTAAAGATAAACATATATAAACAATAAGATTAATTGAAAGCTTCTTCCTCGTCAACTAAGTTTCTTCACTCTCCACTTCATAATATCAACTCCATTCTAAACAATTAGAGAGAACAAATTATACATGTCTCCACAAACATATAGAATATTAGTTGTTTAAAGAAGATATATTATTTAGAATATTAAATATACCGGGAAAGTAATTATATGTGTGTGGGCGGGTACCCATGGAGCGGGTTTACCAAAACCCAAACCCGACCCGGTAATAATGTAGCGGATTTAAACCCGAACCGTGCCCAAAACCCGTCAACACGAGTTTTACCCGTGTTGGCTGGATTGAGTCGGATGGATACCCGTGGGTTCGGGTTTTGTTGTCATCCCTAACCTTAATGTTCATATCTAAAAATTTTTTTTTTTTGTCAAGAGTAGCGGTAACAATCAGTTATTTAAAGAAAAAAGAAAAGCGCGGGAGTCGACTAATCGTCGAACTCCCGATGAAAGGGCCTGTTGTGCCACAAGATGGGCAGCCCTGTTAAGTCGACGAGAGACAAAACAAAAAGAACGCCAGGTGAACTGAGCCGCCAAAGTCCTTGCCTCCTCCAGCACCGCACCACACCGATCATGCGCCAAATCACACCGCACCATACGTTGGATCAAATTTTGAGAGTCCCCATGGAATTTAACACAAACAAAACCATGAGTTAAGCACCATTTTAAAGCATCTCTGAGAGCTAAGCACTCCATGGTAAAAGGATCACTTAGCCCATCATAAGACTTGCCAAAAGCAAATAGGATCGTACCTGACGCTTGGAAACCCACAAAGCCAACACTACCACCTTGATTTCGTTTAGCCGCTCCGTCAAACCACACATTAATGGTGCTGGGATGGGGAATGAGGCCTGTCGAAGCACTGTCCCCAGGCCTACTCGCAGCCGAGGTAGAAACAGGTCCAGGACCTCTGCCATGTAAACCTGGGCGAGACTGCTCCGCTTCCCTCCATTCGTGCAGTTGGCGTTGAAATTGCCGATATAACGCTGGTGGTAAGTACTGGATAAGTGTATGGACTGACCAGCACCTAGCTTTCCAAATTCTCCATAAGATAAACACCACTTCCGCAATCTCAGGTTTCCCTAGTTGCAGACCGAAAAAAAGGTGATTCCAAGCCGCAGGCAGGTCCATTCCACCAAGAGATGAGCAAATTTCTTCACGATCCGCCAATAGCCATAATCCCCTAGCCACCCTGCAACCAAAAAAGAAATGGGAGAAAGATTCCAATCCTGCGTCGCAGATCGGACAAATCGGATCAGAGACCAAGTTCTTAGAGAAGAGGACAGATTGGATAGGGAGGAAACCGCGAACAGCCCGCCAGAGGAAGAATTTCAGTTTCGGAGGTAATGGGAGGCTCCAAAGCAATTTCCAAAATCGGGTGTCAAAAGGCAGAGCAACCGGCGGGTTAAGGAGGTTCTGTTCAGTGTACAATAAATGGTATCCTGTCTTAACTGTAAACAATCCAGAGGGTGAGTAATGCCAAATGAGTTTGTCATCCATCGGAAAGGTGGGGAGTGGAATAGACATAATAAGATCCACACATTCAGGAGTAAACAATTCTACCAAAAGGTCTTTTTTCCAGAAGAAAGAGCTATGGCAAATAAGCTCAGAAACATAGACAGGGCAGGACGTCAAACCTGGTTTCAAAGAAGGACATGAAGGGGGAGTTGTAGGCAGCCAAACATCATGAAGCACCCGAATCCGATAACCATTGCCTACCTGCCACCGGAGACCCCTCTTGAGGAAGTTTTTTCCTTCCAAGATTCCTTGCCAAGCCCATGAAGGGCGAGAGCCAACTGTTGCATCGAGGAAGTCAACCTGAGGGTGGTATCGAGCTTTGTAAATCCGAGCAAGATGGCTGTTGGGGTTGAGCAGAATCCGCCAAGCCTGCTTAGCCAGGAGAGCTATGTTAATAAGTTGAAATCACGGAAACCAAGCCCCCCATAAAATTTGCTCTGGCAAAGGGCTCTCCACGAGATCCAATGCATTCCTCTTTCCTTGTCCTGTCCCGCCCACCAATACTTTGATAATTGCCCATTGCACCGACGACACGTTTCCAGTGGTAATCGAAACGCCGACATCGCATAAATAGGGCCAGCAGCTCCAATAGCCTTAATCACCACTTCTTTCCCTGCCAAAGACAAAGATTTAGCCTTCCAACTTCTAATCCGGGCAGCTAGGGCCTCCTCAATGAATTGGAAGGTGAGTGACTTAGAGCGACCGATTTGGGAGGGCAGTCCTAGGTATTTGTCCTCCGGTTGCAAAATGCTAACCCCTAGGAAGGAGCTAATCGCTTGAAGTTCCTGCTCAGAAACATTACCACTAACACAAACCGATGATTTATGTAAATTAACTCGCTGTCCACTAACCAATTCATAGTCAGAAAGGAGCTGGAGCAGGTTAGCACATTCGGGGATAGAAGCTCTAAGGAAGAGATAGGAATCGTCAGCAAAAAACAAATGGGACATGGGAGGAGCTGACCTGTGAATCCTTAAATCATGGAGGGAGGACGAAGCTACCTCTTGAGAGATTTTCGCAGCAAAAGCTTCAGTGTAGATAGCAAACAACAATGGGGACAATGGGTCACCTTGCCGTATACCTCGATGAGGCTGAAAATATCCATACTGTGCCCCGTTCAGAAGTACAGAGAAATGAACAGTCGTGACACACGATTTGATCCAAATCATCCACCTCTCACAGAACCCTAGTGCCACCATCACCTGAAAAAGGAAATCCCACTCCACTCGATCGTAAGCTTTCTCCATATCAATCTTGAGTGCCATCCATTTGTCCTGTCCACGAACCTTGGTTTTGAGAAACTGCATCACTTCCTGACCAATAAGAACATTATCAGAAATACAGCGACCTTTTACAAATCCATTCTGAAAAGGGCTAATAATCTGAGGAAGAATTGCACTTAGCCTGGATGACATAATCTTGGCTATGATCTTATACAGAACTTGGCAAAGACCAATCGGCCGCATTTGCTTCATGGAATCAGCGTTTGCAACCTTGGGAATGAGAGTGAGCAGGGTGTGGTTGGCGCTATGCAATAAACGCCCTGACTGGAAGAAGGATAGAATGGCATCAGAAACATCTGGCCCTATCTCGTCCCAAAATCTCTGATAGAAAGCAGCCGTAAACCCGTCAGAACCGGGGGATTGCCCTTGCCCAATAGCAAAAACAGCCTGTCTAATTTCACCACGGGAGACCTGCATAGTAAGCATTTCATTCATAGCAGCTGAAACTTTGATTGGCAGATTCAAACTATCAACAAAAGTACTCGGGTCGACACCATTAGAGCTGAATAAAGTCTCAAAGTATGCAACAGAAATACCCCCTTTAATTGGCTCCATCGAATGTAAATCACCATGCTCGTCTTGTAGGCGGGGGATGAAGTTGGACCTTCGTCGTTGCATTGTTGCTAGATGGAAGAAGTGAGTATTTGAATCACCACCATGGAGCCAATTAGTTCGAGATTTTTGCGCCCAATAGTGTTCTTCCTGGCGGTAAGCCTCGCCAAGCCTACTCTCCAATTGATTAATAAGCGCCCAATCAACAGACATAGCTTCCCTAGCACTGTCAATGGCTCCTTTGATCTCCCGGATTTGCCGGGCAGAATTACTTGTACCCATCTTGGCCCAACTCAAAAGCTGGTGACGAGTCTGCTTCAACTTGGACGGAACCTTGAAAAGGGGTGTGCCGGCAGCAGGAACACACCAAGCAGAATGCACTATATCAGGAACCTGTGCGTTAGAATTCCAGCGTCGATCATAGTGAAACCGCCGAGTGTGTCTTGAATCAGAGTTCACAAACTTCACCAGCAACATCCGGTGATCCGACCTCCTGTCTGATAAATGTTGGACCTGGATATCTGGCCACAAGGAAAGCACAACATTATTGCCCAAACATCGGTCAAGACGAGATTGGATATGATCACCGTTTGATTGTCTATTTGACCACGTAAATGGCGGCCCAATGAATCCCAAATCCTGGAGCCCCCCTGCATCCAGAAAATGATTTAGTTGAACAAGTGCAGCAGGGGTTAGAGGCCTCCCACCCTGTTTCTCATTGCTAGCAAGCATACAGTTAAAATCCCCCACAACCAACACGAGATCCTCATACGAAGAGACAAGAAAAGAGATTTCATTTAATTGGAACTGACGAAGGGCTACATCACAATTCAAATGAACGAAAACCACAGCAACTCGCCCAAAAGACGAGTGTTCACACTCTAAGAACATAAAACCAGAACCTTCTACTGATATAGACACAATAACACCAGACATCCAAGCAATCGCTAAACCACTACCATTACTAGACACACTATGTACACGTTCCTCCGGATATCCGAGGGAGGCAAGCTGTTGAATCACAAATTCATCATCATTTCTAGTTTCACTAAGACATAACAGAGAGGGAGCTTCCTTGGAAAGGGCCTCCTTGAGAGCTGGAATTGTCAGGGGAGCCCCCAACCCCCTGCAATTCCAAGCTAGAATGGTCATGGGTGCGGCTGGGACCGGTTAGGGCCGGTTTCCTCCACCCCCTCGATTAAATAAGCATTCTCCTGAGCAACAGCCCCCAGGCGTGGCTTCTTGGCCATCGGTTCAGGCGAGATTACCACTTCTGCAGCAGGTTGATGAGCAATCCCCAAGGATGAGTCCGGCTGGGCATAAGGATCAGCCGAGATGCATAGTTGCCCCAATTGTGAGGCCATGCCAGACTGGAGAGAAGGAGGCTGCAGCTTTGGGCCTTGGCCAGTCCCCCGAATAGGCTGTCTTGACCGGATGAGACCTGCTCCTGGAGCACCTGGGTGATTCCCCGCTAGAGTCCACACAAATCTCTTGCGTCGACGAGCCAAAGTACCCTCGTTCACCCGCGGACCAAACTCTCGAGCCACCAACTCCTTACCATATCGTGGAGCTTGATCCGATAGTTCTTCCCTTCGGGGGCAAAACCTGTTCACATGACCAACCACGCCACAGAGAAAGCAAAATTGCGGAAGAGACTCGAATTTCACCTTAGCTTTGAAATGCCCCTTCGAGGGATCCTCATGTGCAGCCGAGACCTCGTCTGGCAGGGGAAGTTGTAGGTCCAGAGTGATTTTTGTCCGGATGTATAGCCCGCCGGAAGAGATCGACCGGTGGATTGTGGCTGGCTCCGACGGGCCGAGGGCAGCCCCAAGCAAGGAACCCAGCCGCTCGGTACAGCAGTTGTAGGGAACTCCCCAAAGTTGCGCCACCAGGGGCACGCGGATGAGCTCCGACGCCAGCTCTGCCGTTGGGGTTTCCCATTGCCGGACCTGAATGAGAAACTTCTCGAACACCCATGGAGACCCAGCCCGGATCCTTTGAGCGGTTGCTGGATTAGGAAGAACGAATTGGAGAAGGTCCCACTCCACAAACGCCAACGAGAAGTCACATTTCCAGACTCGCCCAACAATCGATCGCAGCGTTGAGAGGGATGGGAGCGGGCCACAGAGCCGGCCAATCAGGGTCTGGTCAAGTCGCAGAGCCCCAGCAGCCACATCGGCATCATTGAATTGAATGGCAGCCATAGAATCGCTAATGGCAGTATCGACTCTCGATCGGAAAACAAAAGGAGGGGAGGACTGACCGAGGGCAGAAGCATACGGGATGCATCGGATGGAGGAGGGGAATCCTTTTATCCTTGCGTCGCCGTGGGATGGCCGGAAACGGCGGGGCACGAAGACGGAAACCGTCATCGCCATCATCGCACGAAGGCGAAAGCCCTAACCACTCCCCCGACGTGGGGAGAGAGGAGGGAGGAATCGGTTTTTTTTTTTACTAGAACACTTGAAACTTCCATGTTTTTCATATCTAAAAAATTAGACATGAGGAAGAAGAAACTCTCTCCAGAAAGAGGGGCAGTCTCTACTCTCTCGTAGAAAGGTATGCTATAAGGCCCAGGCCCAGGCCCATTTCCCTACGGCCCGTGGACATCTTCGCTTGGCTCCGAATCGTCTGGCACAGGCACAGCTAGCTGCTATTCGCCCACTAATAGAGACTAAGAATCAGAGGAGACTAGGCGAAATAGAAACTCTGGACATTTATTCATGAGTTCTGATTGAATGTAGTACAAATAAACACTAACCAGGATCATAAATTGATGTAGAACTATTGTTATGGTCCTATCAAGCATCCATCAGCTATGTATGGACATTGGAGATCACCTGCCTGCTTCGACACTGTCAGGCCTGTGGCATGCTACAACAGCATTACTTTACTGACGAGGATTTCACCACAAAATCGGAGTTCTGCACAATCTTTCTACTCAGGTGGTTTTCTTTTCCTTCCTAGAATTGAAGCTCTCTGCAATCTAGGACCGCCCATTCTCCATTTCCTAAAGGCAGCCATGGAGGATTGAGCTGCTTCATACACTATCCAATGAGGGCCAAATGCAGAAAAGCCAAATGTCAACTTCTTTGAGTACAGTAGGGCATGGAAAGGGAAGATTGAAAAGCTGAGGTGTAGGGAGACAGAATCTAACAATTGGTTTCTTCTTTGGTTAGGAAGTTCATGACTTTGGATGCTGCTGCAAATGCTTTTGTGTGTGCCTTGTACAGAACCTCCTTGTACCGGGCTTTGAACGTGTATGACACCAATAGTCCAATGCTCTTGTCGCAACTGTGCCGCACAAACAAGAAATAGCAAGTAAGAAGGTTAGTGATATCCATTGTGATACAAAGCACATCAATGCTTCTGATGGTTAGCAGAATGATACTTTCAAGTCCGGGGAAAAGGATCTAATTGCTCCCATTAAGAAGCATATTGTTATATCTGTGCCACCTTGAAAGATCAAACACCTTCACATGGTTCTCGTATATTAAGCAATACAAGCAATCGGCTGAAGCATCAGGAAAGCTAAACCATGGAGAGCACATTCTGTCGGAACTATAAGTGCACCAAAACAATGGCAACAATGCTTGTTTCACGCTATTTGAGTGCAGCAATCATGCTACAAGGAAACGGATGTGCTGAAAGGATAACTGTCTCTTTGAAAGCAGCAGGCCAAAATGAACGTAAAGTTTACTCTGAAATTCAGGGTAATGTTAATGTGAGAGACTTACAATGGTGCTACTTTACACCCAAATTCGTAGAAGTACGAGCAGCGAGATCTTAAATCAACAGATCCAGCATCAGCCTCGATTTCTAGCCTCGTACTGCCAAAAAAAAATACAGATCAGTTAGATGGAGAAAAGAAGTACACAAACGAGGAAGCATACTATGTATGTATGATACTCAATGCTCAGAATCAGGTCAGTCCAAATGACTGGACCAATCTATCAGGTAAAAACTTCAGAAAACGGATTTTGAATGATTTTTCAGGTAAAAATTCCTTCATCCTCCAACTGAGATTGTAAAGAGACAAAAGGGAAATCTAAACAAATAGAGCAAGAGGGTCAAAGCCGTTACTTTCTATTGAAACAAGCAGGAACTTTGATTGATATGGCTTGTTGCAAGTGTAAACCCCGCGCTAGCCAAAACGGCAGCTCTGCCTTTGAATCTTGTTCAACCTGAGAACACCATATCAGAAAACACTCAGCTTACTTTCCCTCTTTTAACATGCATTCTCCTCACACCATGACAGAACTTACAAAGCCTCTTTCCGAACTTTCATCAATTTTCACCCCATTCACCGCCTTGAGGAACTGAACTGGCACGAACTGTAATCAACATCATTAAATAATGAGAACTAGCAGCAGTACATGAATCAAAGTTATACATACACAGTACAGAAAGTGTTCTCACATCTTCCTCGGCAAGAATGTCATCAATGTCATAGTAATCCCCCATTTGTTACTACTCTTTCTCCCCTCGAAGTCTCGCTGTTTCCTGCAAGCCACACCTTCTTCACACCTTTGAGATTTGAACTATGGGTACGCACATTTCACGCGAGCCTAATACCCAGAATCAAGAACTCACTTAGCTCTCTTCCCGAACCAAAATTACTACTCTATAGTGAGTTTCCACTATCGAATTCCGAGCGTTGGATACAAAGCCAAATCAATAGAACTTGGGAGAAGAAACTCTAGTTCAATTTCAGCTGCAGCCTGAAATTCATCGGGGAGGATAACAATTCAGCATGGGGTTAACGACACTAAACCACGAGGCGGCAAATCAAGAACGAGAAAACGGATCCGGCGCATCAAGTAGGCGGTCGGCGAGAGAACCCTAGAGTAGGAGGAAAAATTGGAATTGAAACACAAACTCACAGATATATTCGCATTTGAACTGAGGGATCGAAGCAGGAGTTTCGCTGGTGTGGTGAGCAAATTTCTCTGAAATTATCGCCTGTGAAAATTTTCTCGGCAGCGCTTGGCTTGGTCGGATTCAGCCCAACTTGCGAGAAAAAATAGATGAGCGTGGAAATGTAGAGAAAGGGGAAAAGAATGGAGGGAAACTCAAAATTGTCGAAATCGGGAATTTATCTCCTCTGCGTCGAACCGTAGTGTAGTTGTGGTGCACTCTCATTAATCGTCGTTGAAGTTCCAAAAATCGCCCAGGGCAAGGTTTAACATGCATGACGAGGATTTGAAGTCAACCGGTTGGATATTATCCGACCTGACTTGTGTTGTGACTTTGTAAAGCTATGACTCGATCTGTAATCGCGTCGGAAGGGAACCCAGCACCCTAAGAAACGAGCGAAACCGATAACATCTTCCCCCGACCCGAAGCGTGACAAGGAAACCCAGCACCCTAAGAAACGAGCGAAACCGATGCGGGAAAACCCACCGTTTAGTGACGACATAGCCAATAATTCCTCTTCTCCGATGGAGGAAACTGAAGCCGCAACTGAGGCAGCAAACACCAAGAGTACTGCATGGAACGGAGAAACACGTAAGGTTTTCAGCACCCTTCACCAAGTGGACGAGTGGTACGTAGCGGATTTGGATTCTGAGGATGTAGCAGCAACCATGAGGGAGGATGATCTCGATGACGAAATACCAGATGACGACGACCCGCTATGCCCTACCATAGCATTTACGGCGATCGAAAAACAACAATGGAGGTGGGAATGGCGCTCAGCTCTCATCGTGAAGGTCTTAGGACGAACCTTCCCCTTCCCTGTCATCTCCCGCAGGCTGGAAGTTCTGTGGGCTAAGTGTGGCACCATCCAGGTGTCAAGTTTGTCCTTTGGTATGCGGTACGTTTTACTAGTCAGTTTGACTACGAACAAGCCGCGGCGGGTGGGTCGTGGATGCTAGGAGATTTCTATATCATGGTCCGACCCTGGAGGAAAAATTTCAACCCGAAGCTGGCGGAAGTCGCTTCCACCATGGTGTGGGCTCGCTTTCCGGATCTCCCATGAGAGTTTATCAACAAGCACGCAGTTGAGCGCATAGCCGAAAGGATTGGCAGACCTATTCGTGTCGATCAGGCAACTGAAACAAGTGATCTAGGGAAGTATTCCCGTGTCAGTATTGAAGTCAATCTCACAAAACCACTTTTGTCGAAGTTTAAAATTGAAGGGATAACCTATTACGTAGAGTATGAGGCCCTTCATCGCATTTGCACGAAATGCGGTAAGTATGGTCACATGAAAGTAACGTGTCCGAGCTTATTCAGAGAATCAACCCAAGCCTCGTCAGCTACACAGACTGAGAGTGAAGCGCTCACTGGTGACTACGGGGAATGGATGATGGTCAAGCCTCGAGGAAGGGGAGTGAGAAGAAATCCGCAAGAGACACGCCCTAATTATGAGGGGCAAGGGAAGGTTTCATATGTGCATAAGGACTTGGGGTCACGTTACTCAGTCCTTGATGAAGAGGAGCACAACGACAAGCATGGTACGGATGGAGCACAACAAACTGAACCAGTTCAAGTAGATGGTGTCACGACAACAGAAGGCATCACATCAAATCCTAGGGAGGTGTCTAGCTCATCTCTCCCAGAGCTGGTAGACACGAACATTACTGTCCCCCACGAGGCAACAAACAAAATCGAGGGAGGAGCCTGGTAAGGGTAGTACCCCTAATGCTAGAGAAGAATCACCTAAGAGGGCAGATGCACGACCAGTTTAAACTTTGGTCGTAGGAAATAATGGTAGGCAGGAAGAGTCTCACCGTAAGGTCAACCAGGCTCCTCCATCGGAATTGGGCAAAACGAAGCAACAGGCCCAGGAAAAAAAGAGTATAGTACAAACAGCGGAAAACAAGCAAGTTGGACCCCAATCAAAGGGCCCCAGTACGAAACAGGGCGCAGGGAGCCTATCCCCTCCAGTTCATAAATGAAGATTTTGAGTTATAACTGTCGCGGGTTGGGGAATACGGGATAAGTTAACTCCCTGAAAGCGCTACTGCGCCGATCATCCCCAGATATGGTTTTCTTGATGGAGACAAAGCAGACTGAGGCTAAGAATGATGTTCTACGAGAGACACGTGGCTACAAGCAGGGCAAAAGTTTCCCGACGGTTATTTTTACCCGTAATCGAGCTGGGGGCCTCAGCCTCTGGTGGAATGATGATGTACATGTTACGGTCATGGATCGCGACCTAAACTTTATTGATGCAGTTGTGGAAGATGAAGTGGTAGAAAAGTGGAGGTTCACGGGCATGTACGGCTGGGCTGAAGGGTGTGACAAGTGGAGAACGTGGGATCTCCTAGGGTTTCTTCGCCAACAGTGGAATGGACCATGGCTATGTGGTGGGGACTTTAACCAAGTCATATCGTCTAAAGAGAAGAGTGGAGGATGGGGTGTACAAGAGGTTGAAATGACCCAATTTATCAATTGTTTAAATGAAGTGGGCTGTCAAGATTTAGGCTTCCATGGCTATCTATTCGCCTGGGAAAATAGGCGGACAAGAGGTGGTTACATCGAAGAGCGGTTAGATAGATTTATTGCCAACGGAAAGTGGCGAAGTTTATTCCCAAATAAGAGAGTTCAACATGGGGACCGGGCACACTCGGATCACCGCCCGATTGTTTGTGAAACAAGGGGCGAGGAGGACTTGGAAGTTAAGTGGGGATGGTCCTTCCGGTTCGATCTGCTGTGGACAAAACATAAGGACTGCTCCTCTATAGTGGAGCGGACATGGAATGGATCCTCATCACCTGATGTCCTGGATAAATTTGCTAGATGCCTGCATGATCTTGACAGCTGGAGTCGAGGGGCCTTCCCTGCTTTTGCAAAGCAGAAAAACAAGATCCAAAGGGCAGTGCGAGCGTTGGAAAGAAGAAGGAAAACCGAGGAGGTTCTGGCCCAGCTCTGGGCCTTAGAAGATGAGTTGGAGGACGTCCTTGACAGTGAGGAAAAGTACTGGAAGCAAAGATCTCGTGCTGACTGGCTTAGGGCTGGGGATAAAAACTCGGGTTTCTTTCATAGGAAAGCGTCAGCTCGACGGAGGAGGAACATGATAAAAAAGATTCGTAACGAAGCGGGACACTGGTTTAGGGGACAGGAGGAGGTATCTGGTTGTATGGTTGATTATTATCAGTCCATTTTGACCGCTGGTCCTGCACCTATGTCATGGCCGGTTCTTGATTCAATCCAGAGGAAGATTGAGGATGCAGATAATGATGCACTTCTCAGACCTTTCGTGAAAGAGGAAGTGTGGGAGGCATTGAAACGGATGGGGATGCGGAAGGCGCCGGGTGCAGACAGCCTCTCTGTCTTCTTTTTCCCCAAATACTGGAACATTGTTGAAGACAAGGTAAAAAAAGCGGTGCTCCAGATTCTTAACACAGGAATTATGTCTGCAGGTCTTAACCATACCTTGATTGCCCTAATTCTGAAGATAAAGCAGCCGGTAACCCCGAAAAATTACAGACCAATAAGCCTCTGTAATGTAATGTATAAGATTTTCTCAAAGATTCTTGCCAACTGACTCAAGCCTCTGTTGGACAAGATAATCTCACCTTCTCAAAGTGCTTTCATCCCAGGTCGTTTCATTACGGATAATATTATGGCTGCGTTTGAATGTTTTCATACCATAAAGAAGAGCAAACGCTGGAAACACGGTCACTTTGCAGCAAAAATTGACATGGCCAAGGCCTATGATCGGGTGGAGTGGCATTTCCTGGAGGGTGTTATGAGGAGGTTGGGTTTTGCAGAGAGGTGGATCCGGTTGGTTATGATGGGAGTGACTACTGTATCCTACTCTGTCCTGGTGAATAGGCATTAGTCTCAAACTTTCATGCCAGGCAGAGGGATTCGGCAGGGTGACCCGCTTTCACCGTATCTCTTCCTGCTTTGTGCGGAGGGATTGTCAACCTATACAGCCAAGGCGGTGGAGGAGAATATGCTGCATGGGTTGCAGGTGAATCGGGGCGCCCCCGGTGATTACCCACTTGTTTTTCGCTGACGACAATATCTTTTTCGGCAGGGCAAATCAGCAGGAGTGTTTGGTGCTTAAGGAAATTCTCCATGCATATGAACTGGAATCCGGTCAAATGGTGAATTTCCAGAAGTCTGAGGTGTCACTCTCAGCAAATGTGAAGCCCCATAATCGGTTGGTCACGAGTGGAACACTAGGAATGAAGGCTGTCGATAAGCACCAGAAGTACCTTGGTCAAGTCATGGAGGTGGGACGAGCGAAGAATGACTTGTTTGCAGGCTTGAAGGAGCGTGTACGCACGAAGCTGAAAGGGTGGAAAGAGAGAACAATGTCAGTAGCTGCTCGTGAAGTACTGATAACGTCGGTTGCCCAAGCACAACTCACATATGCGATGTTGGTCTTCAAAATCCCGGAGGGCCTCATCGATGAGATCACCAACTTTTGGTGGGCTCAAAAAAGGAAGAGAAAAAAGCTCATTGGTTACGTCGAGAAGAGCTTGTTACCCTTAAAGAAGATGGCGGACTTGGGTTCAGAGATCTCCGAGGTTTCAACACGATGCTCCTAGCTAAGCAACTATGGTCCCTTCATCTTCGTCCTGAGTCGTTGATTTCCAGATTACTTGCGGCGAAATATCACAAAAGTTGTTCCATTTTGGATGCTAGGCTTGGCAGCAAGCCCAACTATATGTGGAGGAGCCTTCTTAGTGCGCAAGACTTCTTGTGCGCTGGATTGCAGTATAGAGTAGGGAATGGAGCACATGTGAAAATATGGGGTGATCAGTGACTGCCCGAGGAGCCAGCTTTTGTCGAGCCGTCCCCAACAACACTCCCGGTGGACGTTACAGTACGTGAACTAGTTGATCAAGTGAGTGGGAGCTGGAACGTGGACTTAGTCCATGCGTGTTTCCCTCCTACCATTGCTCGGACCATCCTGTCGCTACCACTTCGAGGGGCTGAGGAGCAAGACCGCCTCATCTGGAGGCATAGTGAGAACGGACAGTACACGGTCAAAAGCGAGTACAGGAAGTGGCTCTCAAGCTTTATGACAGAGGAAGAGATTCTCCCATGTGGTAATGAGAAGCTATGGAAGGCAGTTTGGACCATGAAGGTACCGCCAAAAGTTAAACACTTTATGTGGCGTTTCGCCTGGGAGATCCTGCCTACTGGGGAGAAAGCGGCAGCAAAGAACCTGAAATGCTCCGACGAGTGCCCCTTTTGCGACCAAGTTGAAACCCAATGCCATTTTTTATTTGAGTGTAGCTGCAGCCGCCGCATATGGCGAGGTTCACCATGGACGCGTCCATTCCTGATTGCCTTCCATGGACTATGAAGGTTCTACAGCAGGAGAGCACGGAAACTGTTGAGCGCTGGGCGATGATCATGTGGGCACTATGGAAAGAGAGGAACGCAAAGCTTTTCAATGGCGCAAAGTGGCCGGAGGATGAGATCGTTCAAAAGGCTATCTCCCTCCTCGAAGAATACAAGAAGAATCAAGGCCCGGACGAGACCATCGATGATCTGCAGTCCGCTGGAACATGGAGGAAACCGCCTGCTGGTATATCAAAGTTAATACTGATGTCGGCTTCTTCGCTGATGGAGGCATTGGACTAGGGGCGGTATTCCGGGATCACCAGGGACACTTCCTTGCTGCAGCAGCGAAGAAGGTGAGGGGTACGTACGAGGTGGATATGGGGGAATCTCTAGCTGCTAAGGTCGGAGCCCAGCTAGCACACCAACTCGGTTTTCAACGCCCCACTCTCGAGATGGACTGTCTTTCTCTGGCCGAGAAGCTTAGGCATCCGAATGATGATCATACTGAGGTTGGCATTCTTTGTCGTCGCATTGTCAGCCTTTTGCAGGCGAATGGATCGAGCTCGGATAACATTGCCCATGTCAGACGTTCAGCAAACAATGCGGCTCACATCATGGCTCATAGCGAGACCCATTGGGATAGCAGAGATGTGTGGATCGATAGACCACCGATATTTCTTGTTGACCAGCTTTGTCTGGATAATGTAACTGACTGTTCCTGATCAATATATCTCACAGGTTACCCGTAAAAGAAAAAATACCCGCCCCGTACATCCATCATTATAATACCGAATATTTTACATGTAGATTTTCAATTATAACATTAAACGCACATACTATATCATGAAGTCGACAAAGAGACAATCATTTTTAATATGATCCAAAGCATCTTATCCTAAAGCATCAATTAATCCATATCAGATTAGAGTATAATGTCATCCAAGGGAATAACTATTAAGTAATAATTAACTAACATAATCTTCTTAACAAGAGAAAAAGTGAAAGACTGAACGGAGAATTGAAAGAAAGAAATTAGATTTTGATTTGGGTGGCCATTCAGTTGTATTTCTACTATATATTTTTCTTGAGTTATACTCACTATTATTGATAGGTTACAAATTGATTCACATATTTTTCATATATGAAGAAATATTTTTGGTGGGGAGGGTATGGGTATGGGTATGGGGCGAGGGAGGCTAAAACCATACTCACCTCATACCCATCAAACTTTTTGCGGGTTTTACCCATACTCGCCCCATACCCGATCAATGCGGGGATTCCCCGCGTTGACTGGGTCGGGGGCGGTCTGTGAGAAACATAATTATTGGGGTTTATTTGTTATTTGCGTATTATTCGGATTTGTGCTAGGGCGGGAATCATGGGGGTTTATTCGGTTAGGTTAATTATTCGGGTAGCAAACAGGAATTAGTCGATTTATATATATATATATATATATATATATATATATATATATCATGTCATGTTAGGTCAAGGGCAAGCAATAACACAGAATTGTTCTCAAACTCTCTCTCTCTATCTCTCTCACCTAGCCGAACCTCCCTTCCCTCTCCTCACCGTCGGCGGCTCCCTCCCCGGGAACCCGACTCTGCCTTCTCTCTCACCCAATTCTCAATTCTTTCTCACCTAAATTCCCAATCCCTAATTCGCACACCTAGATCCATAGTTCTGTCAGTGGTATTAGAGCCTGGCTGTTGTGCTGAATTATTGAAACCTTCAGAAGTTGAGGATGTTGAACATGGACAAGCCGCAACTGCAGAAGCAGGGCAAGGAGATCGTGACCATGAAGGACATAACGATGAACAAGTACGATGTGATCGTCACGACGCTGGAAAGTCTAACGGAGTCCACGGAAAGAGCTGCTGCCTCGTGGGACTCGACCGGGGCCCTAGAGGCGCTGGGAGGCCAAATCGCCATCTCGATTGAGGAGATGGGCAAGTACGTGACGGAGAATCTGTGCCGAGCCCTCGCAGAAACCATGAGGGAGGTGCTGGTCGTCGTCCTGAAGAGCAAGGAGCCGGCGCCAGAGGATTCGCCGATGGAGGCGAAGGGCGCGACTGAAGGAACGACGGTGGCCAAGCCGCCGGGGGCTGCAGCCGTCAGGGAGGTCATGGTGCAGGGTGGCGCGATGGGCAGCAGGGCAGGCGGCTCGAGCGGGGCCTCTGCAGCGGCGGTTGCCAGGCCGCCGGGGGCTGCTGTCGGCAGGGAGGCCGCTGCGCAGGGAAACGCGACAGGCGGCGGGGCCGGGGCAGCGGTCACCCACCCGCTAGGGCCGGCGGGCGCAGAGAGGGTCGGGCCATGGGGCCGAGGTTGGCCAGGGAGCGTGCGACGAAGGAGAGGAGTGGGTTGCGCCGGCGTTCAGTGGGCTGGGTCTGCTGCCTGTTCCAACGGCCCAGGAGATCGCGGAGGCCCGCGGGAAGAAGAAGGTGGTCGAGTTTGAAGAGTTGGGGCCGGAAGATGATGAGCTGAGCTTCGCGGACCAAGAAGATTGGTGGATGAACCCTGGGCCTGACTAGAGCTGGGTGGCTGACCCAAGGGTGGATCAGATCGGACGACCGGTCGGGTCAATGACCGGACGGACCAGCACCGGTCGAACCGGAATCGGTCGGACCGAAATGGGCCAAACTGAACCGAGTCGAACCGGGCCGAACCGATCCGGGAAGGGGCGGTTTCCATGGGGCAGCGGCTGGAGCGGGGCCGGTGGCGGGCCCGGGTGTGAGCGACCAGGTCCCGAGTCGGGCTATCCGCCATGGGGCACTCTGCGAGTGGATCATGGGCGTAGGGGGCGCAGGATGGAAGTAGGACAGGGCTCTGGAACCAAGCCTGGCGGTGAGGAAGACTATCAGCGGGAGATGGCCGACTGGGCCTACTCGGGGAGACGGAATGCGGATCCCGAATACCGAAACTATGGGCCGTGTCGCCCATCACAACCAACGGACGGCGGCAGGTATGGATACAACAATCCTCTGTATGACTATGATGATGAGCTGGTGTTCAGAGCTAAACCTCCGGTTATTGAATTCCCGAAATTTGATGGTACGGGTGACGTTGGGTTATGGCTATATGCGGCGGAGCGGTGGTTCAAGAACCACCCGATCCGTGCAGAGAGGAAGGCGCATCTGGCGTCCTTCTATTTGGAATGGGATGCACTCCAGTGGTGGGAATGGATCGAGCGAACGTACGCGACAGCAGGCGCAGGCATCTCTTGGACTCGCTTTCAGTAGGAGCTCCGTTACCAGTTCGGAAGAGCAGAGGGATGGGCACCAGTGCAGCTGGCGAAGCTGAAGCAGACAGGGTCCTTGGCCGAATACCAGGCTGAGTTCCTGAAGCTCGGGAACCAATGTAAGGAGATGACTGAGGAGACACTGGTGGGGATGTGCATGGCCGGACTGCGGCTAGAGTTGGCCACAGCGGTCAAGGTCTTTGAACCTGATTCTCTTCGAGTGGCTTTTAGACTTGCAGGTCGGAAGGAGGAGGAGCTAGCCACTGGAGATAATCCGTGGGCAGGATGCAGAAGGCCAGTGGAGGAGCGAATAGCGGCGCAGGGGCGGTGTCACCTTCATCATCGGCTGTGACTTCGAGCCCGCCAGTCGCGGGGGCTGCTTCAGGAGCTCGGTTTTCGGCGAGGGCGCCACCTCGCGGGTTCGTGAGACTGACCCAGGCAGAAATGGATCAGAAGCGCAGGGACGGCCGTTGTTTCAATTGTGATGAAAGGTATACCGTGGGACATCAATGTGCCAAGGGACATTGAATGCTGCTGGTCGGGAATTGGGAAGACGAAGGAGAGGAATTGGAGCTGGGAGCCGAAGGAGGCGACGTGAAGGAGGAAGACAAGAAAGATGGGCCACCTTGAGGGCAAGGTGGGTTTCAAGAGGGATGGATTGTGAGAAACATAATTATTGGGGTTTATTTGTTATTTGCGTATTATTCGGATTTGTGCTAGGGCGAGAATTAAGAGGGTTTATTCGGTTAGGTTAATTATTCGGGTAGCAAACAGGAATTAGTCGATTTATATGTATATATATATATATATATATATATATATGGTTCAGGCTAGCGTACGACGGTCGTACATTGTGCGCCTGTGTTCACACTTGTTAATAATTTTTAATTAGTTATAATTAAGTAATTATTTAAGAATAATAAAAATTACAAGCATACCAATAAATTTATTTCGGAATACTATTTAGTCCCAAATAATATTTTGCCGTCTTTCTACTTAAATCAATCATGTAAATTTTCAATTAAACATTTATAGTACCTTCTTTTTGCCATTCATAATTTATAACACCCAAATTTCTTATCAATAATAAATAGTACAATTATTTTTATATTTTGTTTCAAAATGCATAACTAAAATATTGAAGGTCACCAACATTTTATTGATTTCCTTTTCTAAAAACATCCCACCAACCATTTCACCTTCTTCCTCTTATCCTTCCGTGTCCATGCTCCTCCATTTTCAGCAAACTCCATCCCCTATCACCTTTCACCTTCATATCTCCGATTCGGCCAAAGTCTTCTAATAGTCGTTGGCCTCTCCGACTCTCCCGCCAAAGAATGACCTTGTCGATGCAATTGTAGGAAATGAGCATTTATAGAGGAGGGAAAGCGAGGGTTGGGATCCGTAGGTGGTGGAAGCAGAAGAAGAAGAAGAAGAAGAAGAAGAAGAAGAAGAAGAAGAAGAAGAAGATACTGATAAGGCGACGGTGGGCTGCTATGATGGTGATGATCGACAGCTTGGAGTTTGGGAGAAGTGAGGGACTTCAATTCAACGCCCCTGGTTTTGCTTCCCCCAAGGCCACATGCATATGCATCAGAAGCGAGGGACTTCAATTCAACTCCATCTCATATCCCGATTCTCCTATCAAGCCGATTTATCTCTCTAAACTTAGGGTTTTTTAGCTTGATTTGTCGCAGGTGCAAGGGGAGGCGGTGCAGCGGATGATTTATGAGATTGACAGGAGTTGCGGGTCATGCTACGGCAATCGAGCGGAGTCGCGACTTTCACCAGGTATTGCGACTTGCGTCATTCACAAGAGTGCCTCTCTTTTTACTTTACGGTGGAGTTTGCATAGGTTTAGGAGTTCTTCATTGTAACTTCTCTGAACTTTTGTGATAAGTTGTGAATGCATAGCGAATAGGGTTGGGATTAGTCTTGGTTAGAATTTTTGGGGTTAGGGTTGCTGTTCAAGCTAAAGGATTGCAGGTTCAGAGAGTAAAGTGTAATAGGTGATGAACATGGCGACTATAACAAGGGCAGATTAAGCTGTTGTAAAACCTCCTAAGGAGCAGAAAATCAAGGTATTTGAATTCATTGGCTTATCTAATGCCAGTATTTTTTTTATGCGCAATTCCAGTTTCTTTCTTTCCCTTTGGTATATATATTTGTTCACTCTTTCCCCAGGAATCCTGTTTTCAGATGCAGGGACTCATAAACCTTTTGTATATATATTTGCATCATGGTCTAACTTCTGCATGAGGTTTTTAGGCCATTCACTAACCTGTTAAATGTTTCCCTGCCCTGTCTTATTATGCTATTTTGAATTTCTCTTACACTCTTTGAGGTGATTTGGGTGCTTCAATCACATGATTGAGACTAGATCATCAGTTCTTTGAACTTCTATGTGAAGTGAATCTGCATAAATACATTGCCCTCTTAATTGGGAGATGATTTTGATGGCATCTAAATGTTGAGTAGTAGGGTTGGATCTGTGAATGAAATGTCTTGATGTAGAGTTTGTATCACCAAAACATTATGACTTTCTACTTCCATTGTCCAATCTTCGTCTAAAGGTTTTTATTTTCCATGTAGTTGCCATTAGCTTTGTATGGGGGAGCTGGAAACTATGCCTCTGATTTGTACATTGCATCCAAAAAGGCTAATGCGCTGGATAAAGTTGAGACTGAACTACTTGACCTTGTTCAAGCTTTGGAGAAAAGTGCTACTTTTTCTCAGTTCACAAAGGATTTATCAGTGCCTGCTGATACGAGAGTCAAGGCAATTACTGACATAGCTGAACAAGCTAAATTTAGTGTTCACGACCGCAAGCATTATCAGGAAAGGTATATATTAGGCTTATCTAGAACTATATGAATGGTCTCTCTTATTTTGGCGTGGTAGATGCTAAGGCGATGAGCTGGAGCAGCATTGACAGTTCTCTTATTGAATGAATGGTGCTTTTGCCAAGGGGGGAAATCTGTTGTCGAAATGTCATTTACGCATAATTGAACTATTGTAGTGAATGATGTCTTCATAGGCTTAATGTGTTGAAAATTGATTTCTCAGCAGAAAGAAACATACAAAATTAATCAAAAATCATTTCTAGTCTAATAACATTGTAATGAACTTAAAGAAGATCTCTCCCTACATGTATGGTGGTGGGTGGAGGTCTTTCTGTTTGTACTATTAGCATTACTTCTTTGGCTTCTGGTAGTGATGTTTTATTTCTACAGATTATGTTAATTGGCAGTTAAATCAAACATCAACATCATTCTTCATCCTCTTTAAACTTAATTTAACTAGGGTCCAGGTTGTCTATCTGTGTATGGTACGATGATCTTCTTCAGCCTATTTTGCGTGGTCTTAACTCTGCATTTTATCTATCCATTCAGCTGCCATAGGTTCTTGTTGTTCTCTACACATAATATTTGGTTCTTGAGTTATCCTTTGTACCTTACTACCGCATTGAACATCTAATCTCTTGTGAGTATGCTTCCGAAAATGGTGACCCTGGTGCTTTCAACTAATGCGGAACCTCTAGGAAATTGATATGGGCATAACCGTGATCTATTGTGTTTCGGTATGAGCAGCTAATATAGCTGCTATGTATTGTGTATGTATTGGAAGTTGGATCTCAAGTTATAGCAACTAAACATGTTTTTTTCTCCTTCCGCTCTGATTAGTTCTGTAGCGAACTTTAGAAATTGTTTCAAGTTTTTCTTCTTTTCATATTTGATACTGATTTTGTGGTGTTTTACTTACAAGTACTAAATGATACTTCTGTACATATACAAGGATTAACAGATGTATTAATCCATTTGGTCTGTCTTCAGTGTTGATCCATAAATAAACTGAAGCAACACATGTACCTTGTGTTTCATACAACTTGTTGTTTGCGTTGCTTCTGATTGGGTTTTTTTTTCTTTTCCTTACTGTAGCTCCCTGCACTTTTCACGCCAGGAAAGAATGATTAAACTATTTCAGTTTTATATATCACAATTGTGAAGACTAGGAGACTTAATAAAATAAGGGATTTTGATTCCCACCCACGAGTTTTGATAAGAAGTATTTACCTTCTAGGAAGCTTATTAGTTTATTTAATTTAATTCTAATAAATACAAATCACAACAATAAAATTTTGTAACAGTCCCCTTCCTTCATCAGAACTCTAAACACGTTTTTCCTATATAAGCTACTCATCCGAGTGGAATAATCTT